GCTGATTCAATAACCCAATAATACGGTCACCGCATCTATTTCAAAAATAGAATCTCGCTGCGTTTTCGATGTAACTAAACTTCTTTACGATAAACATGCTTCTGAGACCGGGACGTATTGGTATTTCAAACTTTATAGTTATGCAATAAAGTCTAGTACACTTCGACTCATACCTCGCTTTGTCGGTCGCTTAAATGGAATTCGTGCTATATGCTCTCCCACGTTGAAGCTCGAGTTCAAACAAATATAATGCTCGATTTAGTCATTGAGAAGTCGAATTGTGAATTCGCTGGCTACGATGCATTTTGTTTTTTTGACACTAATCATATGTAAACTCTTTGTGTGTCATTTCATACTCTTCTTACTTTAATTACATCGCAACATCACAAAGCTTAACACGTTTAACACTATATCGTTTAAAAATAGAATAGATTACTTGTCGGAAATGTTTTCTATACTAATCGTACGGATCATATGACACCTGATTACTCTCAAAAACGAAATTTTTGTCTATTTTCGAAATGATAATACAGCTACAAAAACACATTTTTAGATAATTTATGCAACGGAGGTAGAACTGCCGCTGCCTCTAATGCACATTAACAAATTGAACGATTTGAAATTTTCTGAATTTTCGTTGGAGGACTATAATAAATAGGTACGTAGGTGTCATGTTAATTCGGATGATTATACCTAAAAATTTACTTAAGACTATATTGGTTTTTAAATCTAATTTGATTCAATTATATAATTTTTTGATCAAATTATTATCAAGTAGTTATTTTGGATTTAATGTTCTGTCATTATATCATATTTCAATTAAGCGTAGAAAGCGATGAATTTGAAAATATGCCTTATAGATAAGTAATATGTAACTAAAATGACAATCAAATAGTTCTTTGTTCTTTCAACCGCCCGTGTAATTTTTTATCTATTAAATTGAAGGTCACTCTTAGACCTTCTCTTATTCTTCCACTCATGGTTTATTTAGTCAAGACGTTCATAAATAAAATAAATAATACTATTTAATGATTTTATTTTTCATTACAGATTAAGAATAACAAACTGTGGCGCAGACTGTTTTTAATATACAAACAGGTAATGAATATATTTTTAAAAGTAGATAATCAACTCAGGAAACCCAATAAACTATAAATTAGAAAATAAAACTAAAAATTTGCTATTTATTTAATATGTTGGTCCAACTTACATATGCGATTGTGTAAAGTGATAATGTCTGCAGTCGCTGATTTGAATTGAATTTGAAAATGTTTTATCATTGGGAACATATTTGATGCCAGTATCCCATTTGAACGTCGAAATCTTTCACTCAGTTTACGTGAAATACTTATAGGAATTGTGGGGATGTTGCATTGGCAATAACTGCCTAAAGACAAGTGATAATACTGATAAATTATTTCGAAATGTCATAGGCCTTTATCTTAAAACCAAACGGGCGAAATGATTTTCTAAATATAAAACCTTACACTAGTTTTATTTTCAAATTAGAATCATCCGTTAGGTAACCGACCTCCCTTAATATATCAAAGAGTTCACTCTTAACGTTTTTGGTGTATTAAACCTTTTTTTAGTATACTAAAAAACATTTCTTTCTAATCGAAGTTACTTAGCTATCGAATATGGTTAATACTGACATATAGGTTGACGAGTATAAACTCCTGAAGGCATATTCTATTTTTCAGTTCGAATCGTTCTTATAATTTTGTTAAAATCATATCCTTGATTATATCTAATTAAAGAAACATCACGTCTGACGTCATATGTTGGCAAACCGTATTCGTTGTACAAGAGCTAAACGAACTAAAATACTCTATTTATATTGTTACCAAGAAAAAAAAAGTCCATTTCCATTAAAAAACTTTAAATTGAAATCTGATACTTATTTATTATCACAGACATTCGAAACCAAACTATGCAAATGAAGTACTATATTCTTAAATAATATTTAGTACATTTAGTGAGTATCGTTAGTACTCGTAATACGCCATGATTCCTCCTCTTGTTTTCTTTTTGCGTACATTACAGGCGATCGGTTTTATATTGGTTTATTTATAGAATTACCGAGAAGTGCCAGTGTATAAGATGGGTTTGTGAAATAAGATGTAAGTGTTATTTCAATTTTGTCGACTTTGAATATGAAACTATTATAAATATAAGCATACTCATATAATTAATTTTGTTTCGCGAATCGATCTCTTTTTTCTTTCGTGAATCGACGGCATTTTGTTTGCTATCAAAGTTTATTTTTTAACCGCTTTTATTACAACTCAATTTTTAACAATGTCACAATAAAAAAAATCCGCCCATTCTTGTCTGTACACACAGAAATAATCACTTCCAATTGTACATACATTTTACTACTCACACATTGTTAATTCAATTGCTAATATATCTTATAATATAATCTTAAAGATATTTAACTGTAATACTCATTCGAGTTGTCGAAAGTTTGTCGTAATCGTGTCACGTCAAACTTCGACATTTTAAAGTTTTCCGCTTCATTATTTTCCCACAGTTTCACCAGTATCGATTGTTTACTTACATAATGCAAACGTTATTAGATAATAAGCTTGTTAATGGGTCTATGTGAAAATAGCTCAAAAATATTCATTATTTTTTTTAAATTTTAAAATAGAACATTATTTGTTTCTTATATATTTACGCAAACTACTCATTTTAAAAAAAACTACGTATAAACGGCTATCGCGTCTATTAAAGTTTCTTTTTAGATATTCGGATCCATTAGAATAAAATCTTGGTCGTATTCTATTAATTAAAAGCAGAGTTATCTTCAAACAATATATAATTATTATAACTGAATTATGCAGCGACTTACGGAATACTCCACACTTTGATTATAAAAAATTATAATAAAAGACACCATCACACTGGCACATTATTCATTTGACATGACAATTAAAAAATACATGTTAAAAGTAATCGTTATTATAATGAATAAAGTCTTTTTTTAAAATGCTTAAAAATTCCACTTTGTCTGAGATAGGACTCGAACCTACGACCTATCGCGATCCGGGCCACTGCTCTAACGACTGAGCTATCCAGGACCTAACCAGGACTGACGATTTTTTCAAGCACTTGTTAATTTTTCGCTACTACAGATTTTGCGATCCACCCAAACAGCCTAAAGATATATTTTTACAAATATTTCAAACTAGCTAAAGTTACAGATTATTATAAATTTAGGGAGCACGGCAATTATTCTGTTATGGGTCAAAGCTTTACTAGTTTGAACCAACCGTAGATTGTGACACATTCTCTGACTTTTTGTGAAAACGAAAAGAATAAATAAATTGCTTTTGATAAAAATAGCAGTTTCATAAATATACATTGGTGTAATAGTTTTATATAAGAAATAATAAAATAAAAACAGATCGGTCAACTCTATGGTTCTATCCCCTCTAGGCCTATCCACACTCGCGCACAGTTCGCGCGCGAAGGCGCGAAGTACCCGCGAAGCATGAGTGTGGATCCGATTCGCATATTCTTCGCGGCTTCGCGGCTTGTTCCCCGAAAATTGTCGGTTTTTTGTCCCGCGTCAAAGGGTTCGCGGGCACGAAGCGCGCGCGAACACGACAAGACTCCACATTCGCGAGTTGCTTAGTCGCTCAGTAGAAATTGCCACAGACGGTTGTGTTAATGTTTGAAAATGAGTATCGTGTGGAATAACGAGTTAGAACTCGCATTTATTGATTGTTTTAGTGCTGAGCCGGTATTGTGGGATGTTAATTTGAAAGACTATAAAAATAAATTGAAACAGCACGATGCTTGGATGAGGATAAGTACTGTGATGGAAATATCAATACATGAATTGAAAAAGAAAAAAGAATCTCTCATGTCAAGTTATAGGAGCTACAAGGGGAAAGTTAAGAAGTCTATTCAATCGGGAGCTGGTGCCGATGATATATATCAGCCTACTTGGTTTGCTTTCGAAGCAATGAATGCTTTTTTGGGAGATAACCTAACGTGTAAAAAAACTAAGAATACGGTAAGTAACTTTATTTTTATAAGCTAGGTACTTAAATATTACTTAAATATTTCGTGAATTCCTTTCTTATTTCTATGGCGTTATTTGCTGGTCGCCGAGGTACTGTTCTCAAGTTACGGATAGCGGATGTATTATCTTGATTTGTCCTCCATGATCCAGGTTGTATAAGTACTCCATCGTCATCGTACATGTCAATAGATCCGGGTGGTGTATAGATGTGTAAAGAAGTAGAACTTCGTCTCAAGAAGTTATGTAGTAGTATACAAGTATATGTTATAAGGGTAGCCTTTTCTGGTTGTAACGGAATTGGTTTTCTAAATATTCTAAATCTGGCCGCCAATATACCAAAAGTATTTTCTACCACCACTCGAGCCGAAGATAATCTTGTGTTGAATTTACGTTCTGCAGAATCCATATTGTGCTGACCAGAATAGGGCTTCATTAAATGTTCTGACAATGCAAAGGCTCCATCCCCCAAAAAAACATAGGGCACATCAATATTCGAACCAGGTAAAGGATGCGGTGGTGGTAAATTTAAGCTGTTTGTGCACATCTTGTTCCATAAAATACTATTTGTAAAAACTCCACCGTCACTTATTCTGCCTTGGCAACCTATGTCAGCAAATATGAAATTGTACTGACTGTCAACTAAAGCCAGTAATACTATACTGAAGGTTCTTTTATAACCTTCTAGTATGCAGAACCAGAATTGAATGGACAGTCGAGAACAATATGTTTGCCGTCAATAGATCCAACCGCTCGAGGAAACTTCCTTGCAAATCCGCTTTCAATACGCAGCCATTCTTCTGGACAAGATGGTATCTGCAAAAAAGATAACATTATATAGAAACTTTCCTAATAAAACAGTATGTAGGTACCTAAATGTATGTGTTTTTTTAGGAAACTGGGGAGAAGCAGGCTCCAGAAGCTATTGAAGAGAATGTTGACATCAAGTGAAAATCGAAGTCAGTCTATGAGCTCCCAAAAAGACAGCGACCCTTCAATCCGCCGACGCAAAACCTCTTCGGAACTGGTTGAAGCAGGAAATGTCGTTAAAGAAGCACTTGCCACCTTCAAATCCACGCTAAAAAGCAATCCATCACAGCCTGTTCAGCAGGAGGATGATTGCGATTTATACGCAAAATTATTAGCAAATAAGTTGCGAAAATTATCTGAAAAAAATAAATTGCAGTTGATGCACGACATTGACGGCATGTATTTACGATACCAATATGATGACCCTGTGATGTCTCCATCACCACCCCAAAGACCGGGCACATCATCATCTACGCATTCAGAGCCTTCATTGCATTATGGACAGGCTGATCAAAATACTCATTACCAAAATAGACAAGTATTATCAGTCCCAGACCCTGTGATGTCTCCATCACCACCTCAAAGACCGGGCACATCATCATCTACGCATTCAGAGCCTCCATTGCATTATGGACAGAATCAAAATACTCATTACCAAAATAGACAAGTATTATCAGCCCCAGCTTCTAATATCATCATTCGATCCCACCAGCTTGTTCGTGCACCAAATTATCCTGTCCTTCGTATACCAGAGAACCAAGGTGCAAACACATCTAATCAAAATCTAGATAATATAATTCAGGCAGCTTTTGACTTAAGTTAAATACTTACTGATATTACCGAATTTGTTTTTTATTGCTTTAAATAAATGTCCTAATGAGAAATATTTGGTTGATTTTGTGAAATTATATTCTAGATTTGAGATTTACTTCTATGTATGCGTATTAAAATTGATTTAAGTATATCCTTACTTTTATTTCATCCTTCAACACTTCACATAGGGCATGGCAAACTTCTGCTATAATTTCTGATATTATTTGTGATGAAACTTTGAACAAATAATGAAGACTAATGAAGTCGTCTCCTGTTGCTAAGTATCTCAGTGTTATAGCAAGACGTATCCGGGCAGGAATGGCTTTTCGCAACTGGGTATCTTGTTTTGAAATACGTCTTGAAATTCGACTAAGCAAATATTCAAAATCATTTAATGACATCCGGGAAAACTTTTTGAATTCATCTGAAGGTTCTGCAACTAGTTCATTCAAAAGCTTCTCCATAGTTTCACTGTAAGAAAAGACAAAGTTATCAAGTACCTATAAGTCAATTTCATTGTAACCGTTATTAAAAGTGTAATTTTATATAGTTAAAGGACATCAGGCAACCTGGTCTAAAAAAATAAAATCGTGCGGCTAGACCCAGGACTATTTGCAATAGCTAGCTCATTTCATGTAACTGCATTATCTGAGTAGTAATTACATATTTATTATAGTTAAGAAAAAATGTCAGCCATTCGTTCTAAACTAAATAACTACTCAGAAAATGCAGTTTACAGGGTTCAATGCATATATTTTTATAGGTTTTTATATGAGCTATTGCAAGTTTTTTAGACCAAGTTTGTTTGGAATCTGCCTGATGTCCCCGTTTCACCCATCTTGTAGGTACTACATACTTACTTACTATACCTCTGAACTCTACGAGAAAGTAAGTTGGTATGGTACTGACCTGGTTCTATTTCGGTGAATGGTGGTAATCCACCATCTCCGTTTTCTGTGCTTCTTTTGGATTGTTCGTTTTTTCTTTAAGGCGTAACTATAAATTGCCAAAGAGCAAAGTAGTAAAGCAGATGCTGTAGTGGTTTCACTGTCCATAACTCCTACAAATAAACTTTGAGAAAATTACAAGACGTGAATACGCGTCAAGAGCGCGAACTATACTGTGAGCCCGGCGCAAAGCCTGCGAGTGTGGACTGTTGGCAATCGAGGCGCGAAGCGCGCCGCGAATCACAGCGCGATACGCGCCGTGATTCGAGTGCGAGTGCGGATAGGCCTTCTCATTCGTTTAGTTACCGAATCAAAACAATAGGCAATGGTAACCGGCACGTTCAGCCTAAGCGCAAACCGTTCCGATTCACAGGTGCGTCGTACACGCGGAATGAACGCATGCGATATTGATGTAATCGCGAAGTTACGTTCGAAAAAACTCACTAGAGCGGGGAAAGTGACGCGCCGCGCCTCAAGATCGTGAAAGGTACTTAGTCGATCACCGCTCTAACAAGATCCGTTACGTCCCCCGTTGCTGAGGAAAAAATGTCAGATTGAGGAACTAGGCTAATTTGTCGGAGATCCAGTTACGCTGGTCGGCTAAACTTACGACACCGACAACGTTCGGAATTTGAACTACTTTCGCGTAATCTGTCTATAGAGAATATGATGCCCTACTTATATTTGGGAAAAATTATCAAAAAACTTCAAAATTAATAAATAAACAAATCTTTAAATAAAAATCAGTCAAAAAAAGATTATTGATTATTGATAAATTTCGCATTCACAATGCTACACTAAAAATATTCTTAATTATAAATGCACAAAAAATCTACTTGGTCCCTGGCATCCCGAGATGGGATTCGAACCCATGATCTTTTGCAATCCGGGCGACTGCTCTCACCACTGAGCTACCCAGGACTTAAAAGGACTAACGAATCTTTCAAGCACCTGTTACTTTTTCACTACTACAGAGCGTATTCCCATCAATGTTCAGGCAATCCACACAAACAGCCGAAAGAAAACTTTCGAAAGATGAAAATTTGTTCTACTGAAAAATGTTTAAAAAATCCACTTGGTCCCTGGCACCCAGAGATGGGATTCGAGTCCATGGTCAAGCCGACTTATTAAACATTTTTATTAAGAATAAAATTATTTATTTTAAACAAACAATACGAAACAGTTTCTTATACCGATATTTAACCTATTTTTTACAATAAATATTAAGTAACCAATTTTCCAAGTTCAGACAATTCAGACCTTTATTTAGTTCATTACTAAATTTTAGTTATCCTGGACAAGCATTCAACGAAATCTAACGCATTTGCTTATAATTGAAACAGAAACAAATATTATCAAAGAAAATAGTCTTTGTGGAAAATGATAGTCATAGTTTGCCGATTACCAACTATAGAATAAACCACATAAAAATAGATTGTTTATCCCACTATAAAAAATCACTTGATTTACGATGAAGGAACAACCAATCAGAAAATGACTATCACCTCATTTTTTTAAAAGAACTGACCAAAAAGTTTTTTGACCATAAATTAATTATCTCAAACTTCACCGTATCTCGGAAGGCACGTTAAGCAGTTGGTTCCGGCTGCGTCTGCAATTTTTGACAGCCACCAATTCACAAGGCCTAGTCTCCCTATTCGATTCGATTTGATTTCATCCATAGGGAACGCTTGAACCCCAACAGTGGGTACATTTATAAGATGATAATGAACCAAAAAGTTAGTAAAAACGTATACCTAATACCAATCAAACCATCACTAAGAATGAAACATTTAATCGTGTAAACTCGTGAACAGTTAAAGGAGGTTTTATTGAAGTCTTTAGAACATTTAAACGACTAGGTTGTTAATCGCATAAACTGGCACACTAGCAATAAACAGCTTACTTTACATCCTAATCCATAAACAACGATGCTTACAAACGCGTTTTGATTAACAGCTCTCACTTCGTGGCGTATTAATACATCCGATTTTCAATTGAATCCCGGAGAAATAACGCACCTGCCCCTCGTCCCTTCGCAACGGGCATCTTTGGTTGAGAACTCGAGACTCCTCGTAAAGACAGTCTGGTCAACCAATCAGCAGATGTTACCTCGTATCCGTAGACTAGTTGGCAGACTAATCCGTTATCGAACATCGGACAAAGAAATCGGTTCAGATCCAATGCACGCGTCAGACGACCGATCGGCCAACAGTTTGGAAATGTTACAGTTGCGCCACAAATCCGTGGATCGGTCCAGTCGCCTTTGTACGTATATAGCTGTTTAATTTACGGTGTTGAAATGAAGATAATAGGTGCTGTTGAATTTGCTAAAACTCTACCCTTTAGTTAATTTCTTTTCCAGCTATTCAGTTGATATTTTTTAATGAAGTTATCATCGTATAAAAATATAAAAACAAATATTTCATACCAATTAAATCCATTGATTACATAATGATAATAAATAAACTGCCGCACTATGGGTTATTAATTTATGAGAATATCATTAAATATAAAAATTCTCGTGCCAATAAAAGTTCGTAAAATCGTCAGTTCACAGATATACTCGTATCACGTATTTTTTTTTATAGTAGGTATTACACAGATATTACTTATATCATAGACAATGTGTGTCGGTGTCGACTGTTACTATGTTTGTATTATCAAATAAGTGATTGTTGTCTGATGGATTTCAGTCAAGTCATAGATACAAATGTAGTAATTTTATGTTTCATAAAATCACAGTAAATATAATACGTACCTAAGAAATTATATTTTTAAAGCATAAAATTTTATTTATTACCTCGGAGTACAAGCAAAGAGTCGTCATAAAGTGTAAAAGACTTATTTATTCATGAGAGTATAATATTATAAAGATTTAGTAGTTTGTTTGCGTTGCATAGGCTAAGAAACTATTGGACGAATTTTATAAATTCATTTACCTACGGTAAGCTTCGCGGGTGAAATAGGCTACTATTTACGCGGGGAATAGCTATTTGTTTTATTATTAATTTGACATAAGCTGATGCTGTTTTCCCTACATATATTTTTACACTCTGTGATTTCATAAGTAACGTATTATTGAAGAAACCTAAACTGTAACTCTAAAGAGAGAACGCAAATTTTGAACGGTAATTAATCTGAGAAACCAAAGCACCTATTTGAAAGCAACAGGTAATCGATTCTGAACTCTACTGCGGCTTATTAATTATTATAATCGATTGCTGTAGTTGGACACTTTTGTATAATTTTATGTACTATTTAGTGTACATTATTTAACAACATGCAATTGGTTAGCCGTAAAGAGGTGTATTTCTTTCTAATTCTTATTAAAATAAATAAAAGTTTAAGAGTGTATGTTATATATTAAAGTTAAAGAACTAAATTATGTATGATATTGATAACAAATTGTGTCACTCATCCTTTATCTTACTAAAACAAATAAAAAAAGCAAAAAAATATATACCTAGGAATATGTTAACGAAAAATCTACTTAATCCTATACAATTAAATGAAAATCTAAGTTAAAAATGATAATTCCATGAGCATTTTATTATTATACCTATATTTTAAATTCAACAAGTAAGATAAAAATGACACTTCAAAATTTAACTACTTGAAAGTAACTTTCAATTTAAAATCGAAAATTTTCTACGTCGATGTATGTTTTTTTTAATGTATGTTCACCGATTTTTCCGTGAATTGGTGACCGATTTTCAAAACATATTTTTTTTTCGACAGCTTATGGATAAATTTTATCGAAATCAAATTGGTAGTTCTGTGCGGGCTTCTAAACACGTGTATAGATTATTATGTAAGTCTGTATGTATGTTTGTCCACGGATATCTCGCTAACTGGACGTCGGATTGCAATGATTCTTTTTTATTTAATTGCTTAGCTTAAAATTTAAAATACCTACACTACAAGTTTCATCAAAATCGGTTCAGTAGTTTTGAAGATATAAACTAATAAATTTAAGCTACTTATAAAAAAAATTACAGAGTTATAAAACGGAGTAGAAGTTTATTATTTTTTTTGTTAAATTTTGACTTTGATCTTTTCT